TTAGTTTATAGGATTTTTTAAAATAACAAAAATTAAAACTTTTAGGATGAAATCTTGGAGATTCTTTAGCATTTATCATTAAAATATCACTTTGCTATTATATATATATATATATAGATTTGAAAAAATCCAAAAAAAAGAAAAAAAAATTTAAAAAATAAAAAAAGCATCATAGTAATATTTTTGTTTTAGAAAAGAATGGTAAAGGTACAACAACATAATAATTAATTTTATGTAATTAATATGATATGTTAGTCAATAAGATTTTTTTAAAATAACAAAAATTAAGAATTTCAAAATGATATCTTGAATATTCCTTAGCTTTTATCATTGAAATGTCACTTTGCTATAATATATATAGATATAGATTTGAAAAAAGCCAAAATAAAAAATTTTAAAAAATAAAAAAAAGAAGTTTTTTTTAATACTTTTTTTCAAATATTTTTATTTTATTTTTTATATTTTTATTTATTTTTTGATTTTTCTAGTTCATCTAGTCAACCAGATTTTAAAAGTCAAACTTTTTGAAAATAAAAACAAAAAAATCACTACAAATGAAAAAAAATAAATAAATAAAAGTTACTCAAAATGCCAATCTAAAAAACAACACATGATTTCTATCGATTGTTACCCTAATTTAAGCTATTACACTATTGGATATTTCTATAAATAAAGCATTAAATTGTCCATACAATAACATAATTTAAAGAAGAAATCTTTATGAAATGCGTAATTTAAAATTAAAAAAAATATATATTTTTGGAAAAACATGTTCAGATTGAAGGTAATGGAAAGTCTTTTGAATTAAGACTTTGTCATTTCCATAATTATTGATTCTATTATTGGTAATAAGTGATTGTAATTCAATTTAATGGAATTCATTTGGAGAATTTAAATATTATTTTAATTTAACTAAATTAGATTTTGGACCAATTGTAAGATACCATGTGTATTTTAAAAATTATAAAATTAAGAAAAATTGAGAAAATTAGAGTGAGACTTCCTATCTCAAAGAGGCCGCAACGTTTTTGCTTATATTATACTAGTGTAATACTTGTGATATGTAAGGGTGTAAAATTAGCCTGCCAACTCTTGGGCCTCCGTAGCCTAGGTGGGCCAGGCCTAGTCAGGCTTCAGCCCGAGTCCAACCCGGGGCCCTAGCCTAGCCTATCTATTTCACAGCCCCGCCTGACCTGTGGCGTAGCCCTCCATGACCCGAATTTTTTTTCTCGACCCTGCTGGCCCACCCTCCAAAGGCTCCATGTGTTGCACAAGTGTGCAATGTCCAACCAACAGTAAAAATAATTTATTCAAATGGTCAAATGACCGTTTCCTATCAACGGCCATAATTTTTTTTTTTAATTATATAAATTAACCCTTCATTCCTCCCAACTCCTATAAATACCCCCCTCTCCCATTTCATTTCTCACACACAAATCTCTCTTTCAACTCTTAACTCTCTCAATTAATTTTGAAATCTTATCCCTAAGTGGCAATTGCAATTGCGCAAGAAGAAACTTTTATCAGAAGAAATTAATTTTTATATCGCATTCGCCAATCGGTGACATAATTATTTGAATTAATATTTATTAGTTACTTATTTTTTTCGTTAATTATTTCGTAACATATATTAGTTGTTATTCTGAAATTCATTATTGTTTACTCATTATTTTAATTAATTGTTAGTTCATATATATTATTTTACTTACATCATTATGAATCTTAAATTCCTAATGTTTATGTTGATATTGATGCATATACACAACATGAATTTGTTTATTCTCCTTCTAATGTACCTAATATCCTTCTTCAAACAACAACATCATCATCTAAGGGCACGTCTAGTACTGTTTGTGAGCATTTTGAAAGAGTACCTGTAACTAATTCTCATGGTACAACTGTATTTAAAGAAAAATGTAAATATTATAGTGATTCTGGTTTTAGACCCAACCGATTTGATATTCTGGACTCGAGTTTCATGGTTCTATATTGTTGTTCTTGTCTTATTCTTATTTTCCCTCTTTGAATTTGGCTATCGGGTTGTTTTGGTTGGGTTTGGAATAGGTTGGTAGCTTAGTTTTCAAACTTTTGTTGCCCAAAAATTTACTCCTCCGCTCGAGCGTCACTTCTTGCACTCGAGCAGGCTTTGTGAATCTTCAGTACTTTTGCAGATCTACAAAACTATTGGGAGAGTGTATTCTACTCTCAAGCGGTGCTTCCTGCGCTCGAACAGTCTTGCACTCAAGCGATGGTCTTCTATCTATAAAATTTCTGGGAGTGCGTATTCTACGCTCGAGTCTCACTTCTTGCGCTCGAGCGATGACGCCTTTTTCATTATGTCTTGGCGCTCGAGCGTCACTTCTTGCACTTGAGCAGTAATCATTTTTGTGTTTAGAAGCTCGAGTGTCATTTCTTGCGCTCAAGCAGACTGTGTGTATATTAGTTCATAAAAGTCATTTTTTCTATCACTTTTTCATCTCTTTCTCTCTTTAAACATTTCAAAACCCTAAAGTTAAGACATTCTCTCTCTAGGACCTACTCTCTCTCTACAAATACATCAAGATCTACCCATTTCTCCACCCTACTCTCTTTGTTAAAAAGGTAGAGCTCACCTAGAGCTTCATTTTTATCCAAATAGAGTTGGGCTTTGGCTTCATTCGAGTTTTATCCGTGCTTTCTCGTTTTTAGCTTTGAGGTAGGGATTTTCTACACTCTTTTATGATTTTTAACTTAACTACTTGTTTTTCATAAACAATATTGTGATTTTGGAGGATTTTGAACAAACATTGGTTTAAAATCAAAAAATAAGTTTTCAAATAGTTGTATTGAAAATGGTTGTGGGAGTGGAAATGAGGTTGAGTTTTGAACAAATCATTGATTTTGACCCTTGGATTGGATTTTGAAAGAAATAAGGTTTTGCCCTAAATGTCCCAAATATTTGTTTTGTACAAATAAATGAAATTGATAATGGAAATGTGAAATTAGATTGATATTAGTATGGATGGTGGAGTTGGATATGTATTATCGCTCACATCTTGAATTTTTGTAAAGTTTATCTGTATTTGGTGATTTTATATTTGTTCAGAAATATCTGTTTTGGGCTATCAGTGGAGAATAGTCATGATTGTTGTAGAAATTGCATGGGGATTAAGTGAATTGAAACTAATTTCTCATCCACGTACATTGAACATTTGTTGCGTATTTAATACATTGTAAATATTTATGATTTTGAGAAAAATGGATGAATGTTGGAAAGAAGTGTGTATCACCAAATTAAGTTGGCCTGTGTATCCAAGGTGAAACTCTCAAAACTGCGCGTATACATGGGTGTCGATTCTCGCCGACGAAATATTCATAAAATGACAATAGTAGTGCTTGTATAGACTACGTTTACACGGGTACCGTTTGACGGTTTCCTGCGGATGAAATATCTGTGGGTTTGAGAATTCCCCCTTGATTCGTATGGTAAAGGACATGATTTGAGAATTGTGATATAATTCAAGCATGGCATGATTTTGAGAAAGAAATGTAAATCGTTTTGACATGGGCATTGCATATGCATTTCACCCTTATATCTTTTTTAAGATTCATATATTGTGTTAGATTTTTTTACTAGGCTTTGGTTCACCCTATTTGGGAAAAACCATTTTCAGGTACTGGTGACATGCCTCCACTCTATTTTTATAAGCCTAGGGCTTTATATGTATTGAGTTTAAGACTCACTTTTGATGGAACCAAGCATTGTCTTGGAAAGTTGTAACCTTCAGGGCATTTCCATTACCTGTATAACTTCTATTTCTTATTTTGTTATTGACACATGCTATAGATTCAGGGTTAGGACTTATGAATGTATATCCGCATGTGCCATTTCTTTTGTACAACTAGATTTCATGAAAATGAAGGATATCATACTCTAATTTATGTTGTTATTTAATTATCGTTACAGTTGGTTTATTATAATTATTTCGCAGCATTACAACTTGGTACCAGAGTGTACCGGGTTTGAATACTTCGGTTACGTGGGAAGTGGTTATTACCACAATGGGTTTGTCTCGCTTGATAGAGACATTAGTACGTATGGTATGCTATGTGATAACATGCTTATGTGATTATATGGGTATGAGATTTAATTCCTAAGATATTGATTGGGTCTACGGGTTTCTAGAAGTCCTGTTAAAAGTGCACTTGATCACTGCTGCTTCTAATTGGAACCTTGGCAACGTCGCGGGATGGTCATTATCTAAGAAAGAAATTCGTATGTATTTATGTGACTATGTGCTTATGTGGAGTGAATTATTATTGTCTACTGTATTAGGACGCGAGTGAATTAGCTTCGGGACATTTGTAAATGTGCTAATCTTTTTTGTTACCTTCATTAAGATGTCAAGACGTGGTCATGGTGGTAGGCTTGGTAGGCCTAGAAGGCATGAGGTGCCTTTACCGGATGATATTTCAGTACAAGAGGAAGGAGTTGCTTAGGCTAATGTGGTGGAACCAGTCAATCAGCAGACCATGGGCGCCTTAGCTCGTGAAAAGGCTGTAGCTTTGCGAGAATCCATGGACATTCTCAGGGTTAAGAATTAAGTCCAATCCCATGTTGCTGAGACAGGGCCGTCTTTTCTGAAGTGAGAGTTTTTCTGATCCAACCCGAACGAGTTTTTGGTAATCCCAAGAAGCCACTGAAGGTGGAAGAGTGGCTAGAGCAAATAGTGAAGAGGTTTGAGATGCTTGGCATCGAGGACGACGGACTAAGAGTGACCCTGGTATCCTTCCAACTAAACAGAGATGCGGGTCAGTGGTGGAAGTATGTGAGTGGGCGTATTGGAGTAACTTGGGAGGCTTTTGTCAACGCTTTCCAGGATAAGTTTTTGCCTCCCACTGTTAAGGAGAGGTTAAGAGAGCAATTCTCAAAGCTCAAGTAGCTCAACACGCTTGTAGCTGAGACTGAGGTAACCTTTACTAGTCTCTCTCGATTTGTACCAGAGTTAGTGGCGACTGAGGAACGCCGTTGTGTGGAGTTTGAAAAAAGGTTGAAGACCGAGCTTCTTTTTAAGGTAGCCAGTTCAATGATTAGATATTATGGATGCCTTGTGGAGGCAGCGGCTCATCTTGAGACCGTGATGCAAATGGAGGAGGAGTGGATGATGGGCTCTAGGAGGAGTCAGGAGGTTCAGGGTGACAGTAAGAAATAGAGGAGTTCTAACCCACAGTAGTCCTACGGAGCTCAATTGAGGTCCATTTTTCTAGTCCTGAGCTCGGGTTCTGGGATAGGTAGTCCGGGAGATTTCACTTGTTTCAAGTGTGGTCAGTTAGGCCATAAGTCTCCAACTTGCTCGCAGAGGGGAGTTAGGCAGCAGTCTGCACCGTTTACGGCTCATTCTCAGAGCCAGAGCCAAGGAAGAGAGAAGTCGCTCACTTGTTATCAGCGTAGGCAGACATGGCATATGAAGAGGTTTTGCCCATAGTTGGGTGGCACACTTAGTGCGTCTGGTTCAAAGCAGACATAGCGCCACCGGCCTGCATAGTCAGTAAAAGCCTCAAAGGCCAATTAGGGAGCCTCTTCAGCTCAGTCAGTGCATCAGGTTTATGCTTCGATGGGTGAGCGTGAGCGGAGACCTTCAGGGTATGTGTATGCTGTTACCGCGCCAGACTTAGTACCAGCGCCTTCAGTAATGAGAGGTACTTTCTTATTATGCAATTCCATTGCTAATGTGTTGATTGATACGGGTGCATCCTATTCATTTATCTCGTCCGCATTTGCATCGACTTTGGGTTTAGAGTTGGTCGGTTAGCATCTCCTCTTAGTGTAAAGCCACCTATTGGTGGTGAGATTGTTTTGGAGTGGGGGTGTCACGGTTGTGACATAGAGGTTGTCGGTTGCCGACTTCTTTTTGCATTTGTGTTAACTGACCTGTCTAGTTTTGATGCTATTTTGGATATGGACTGGTTGTCATCTTATCGGGTTGTCATAGATTGTTACCGTCAGAGAGTTACTGTATGTGCATTGAGCGGTGATTGCTTTTATTTCATGGGAGATAGAGCCGATAGAGTTTTATTGCCGATATATGATCCGCGTGTGTGGAGTGAGCTTAGTTATCTTCTTGCCAACTTGGGTAGTGAGAGTGACGAGGTCCAAGTTGAATTGCCAAGGGTAGTTTGTGAATACTCAGATGTTTTTCTAAGGATCTTACTAGCTTACCACCTCACCGAGAAATCGAGTTCTCTATTGATTTAGGTCCTGGCACGACTCCGATTTCTATGGCACCATATAGGTTTACACCTGTCGAGTTGAGTGAGTTGAAGATTCAACTCCAAGAGTTGTTATATAAGGGTTTTATCCACCCTAGTACTTCGCATTGGGGAGCACCGGCTCTCTTTGCCAAAAAAAAAAAAAAAAGATGGTGCGTTACGACTTTGTATTGATTACTAGAAGTTGAACCAGGTAATTGTTAAGAATAAGTACCTAATACCTCGTATAGATGATTTGTTTCATCAGTTAAAGGGGTCTTGTTGCTTTTTTAAGATAGACCTGAGATCGAGTTATCACCAGTTGAGAGTGAGGGAGGAGGATATCCAGAAAACAATATTTTGTACACGGTATGGCTATTATGAATTTCTAGTGATGCCTTTTAGGTTGACCAATGCACTAGCTGTGTTTATGGATTTCGTGAATCAGATTTTTCGTGAGTTCTTAGACCATTTTGTAGTCGTCTTTGTGGATGACATCTTGATTTACTCACCATCTGAGGAGGAGCACGAGGAACACTTGCGAGTGGTGCTTGAGTTGCTTAAAGCCCATAAACTGTATGCTAAGTTTGGAAAATGTGAATTATGATTGAGAGAGGTTAAGTTCTTAGGCTATGTGGTATCCAAGGAAAGGGTGACTGTAGATTCATTCAAGACAGAGGCAGTGCAAGATTGGGAACAACTTAAGAATGCTTTTGAGATCCGTAGTTTCTTGGGTTGGCCAGGTATTACCATCGGTTTATGAAAGATTTCTCTAAATTAGCTTCACCATTAACTAGCCTGACGAGGAAAGGAATTAAGTTCGTGTAGAGCGAGACTTGTGAGAAGTCTTTTCAAGAGCTTAAGGTTAGACTTACCACTACTCCAATATTAATTATTCTGGGAAGGGGTTTAGGTTATTCGATGTATTATGATGCTTCAAGGGAAAGTTTGGGTTGTGTATTGATGCAAGAAGGGAAGGTAGTAGCTTATGGTTCATGGCAGTTGAAAACACATGAGAGGAACTACCCTACTCATGACCTAGAGTTAGCGGCGGTGATCTTTGCCTTGAAGATTTGGAGGCATTATTTATATAGTGAGAAGTTTAAAGTGTTTTCTAATCACAAGAGTCTGAAATATCTGTTTACACAAAAAGACTTAAATTTAAGGCATAGGAGGTGGATGGAGTTTATAGTAGATTATGATTTTGAGCTACATGTTGTGGGAAAGGCCAATGTTTTGGATAAGACCAATGTTGTGGCCGATGCCTTAAGTAGGAAATTTATTAGCAGTGTAGCTTGTATTGCCATTTGGGAATGGGAGATGTTGGGTGCTATTGGTGAGTTTGACTTGCATCTTGGCGAGTCCGTTGAGTCTGTAGCATTGTTTTTGGTAGTTGCACAACCTACACTTGTGAACCAAGTGATAGAAGTGCAGAAGAGTGACCTTGAGGTAGAATCTCTCTGGGAGAAGATGTCTAGTAGGAAGGTAGAGAAGTGCTTGAATGTGTATCCCAATTTGAGTGTTAGATATCGTGATCATCTTTTCGTGCCGGAGTCTTGTCGAGAGGAAGTACTTTGAGAGTTTCACCATTCACGCCTTGCAGTGCATCCGAGAGGCACAAAGATGTATCACGACCTTAGTCGCCAATTTTGGTGGAGGGAAATAAGGAAGGATGTGGCCGGGTTTGTATCGAGGTGCCTTACATGTCAACAAGTGAACGCTGAGCATCAGAGGCTAGCTGGTTTGTTACAACCCTTTCCTATGGCCAAGTGGAAATGGAAGCATGTCACGATGGATTTTGTTGTGGGCCTTTCGAGGACTTAATGGGGTAATGATGAAATTTGGGTGGTAGTTGACCGGTTGACTAAATTGGCACACTTTATACCTATGCCCATGAGTGACTCGGTAGATTATTCGGGGTGTTCTGAGGACTTAACTGATGGGGTGTATGACCTAAGCTACTATATCATGCCAACTGGTCAAATCAAGCCTGAATTGGTGCTGCCAACCTTGGTAGACATCATTGTCGTCAGAGAGGATGGCTCGAGTTAGGGGTTGGATGGTCTAGCAGAACTTGAGGAGGACTTAGACAATCTGCAGTTCTTTGACGAGCAGGATCAGGGTGATGTGCAAATCGGCTGGTTCAACTTGAACGGATCAACTAACAACACTGGATGGCTAAGTGATGAGCCAAACAAGGAAGAATGGACTGAAATAAAATCATAAGGAAAGGAAACAGGGATCGCTATAGTGACCAGAAAGGCCGATGAGAAAGGAAAGCTACTGGAGAACGCTGGCGTAGAAAATTCAGCCCAGGAAGTGAGCGTTGTGCGCACTGTAGATACAAAATAGGAAGCTGCATTGAGGCAGTTTGAACTAGAAAGAGTTGAAGACAACTAGGAAGCCATAACGGCTCAACACCCTATGGGGGATACTCATGATGTGAAAGTGATACAAGCAGAGCTGGACAACTGTTTGTTGACTGCTGAAGGAGAATGGTGGCCCGATGATGATCTGTATCTGGCCCACACTGACGAAGACTGGGGCGAGTACCTTCCGGACAACACGTGGTATGCGGAAGAAATTGACCATTTGATAAGAAGTGGGCAGTATTTTAAGTTGCCGCACTTGGATCAGGCAGAGGGGTTTGGAAAAGATAGAGAGGTTGAGAAACAGAAAGAGAAACGGCAGGAAGAAGAGGCAGTGTTGAAACAACTCAAGAAAATCCAAGCTGACATTTCCATTTGGGGTCTTTTCATGGCCTCTTGGGTACACCGATAGGCAGTGTTGTCGACAATAGATAAAGCTAAATTGTCCATTTACATCACGCCCAAGCAGCTGGTAGGATTGATTTTCCCAAGTGGTGCCAGACCAACTCTGACCTTCTCTGACAAAGAACTATCACCGGAAGGTTCAGCCCACAACAAACCTTTGTATATATCTATAGAGTGTAAGGAGAAATGGGTGCCGGTGGTATTGGTAGATGCCAGTTCGGCCATCAATGTCTGTCTTTCTCGTACCGCTTATGCAATAGGCCTCAAACCAACAGACTTTGTTCCCACAGCCTAAGTAATTTGGACATATGATAATACGAGCAGAGAGGTCATGGGCACGGTGTAAGTCAGAGTCCAAGTGGGCCCAGCTGAGCAGGAGGTCGAGTTCCATGTTTTAGATGTGCCGGCTACCTTCAATTTGATATTAGGGAGGCTATGGTTGCATCATGTAAAGGCCGTCTACTCTATTCTCCATCAAATGTTGAAATAACCTCATGGGGGAGGAGTGACGATTGTTTTTGGGAATTCATCGATCAATCCCCCACCAGAGGTAACTATGCCAATGCTAGAGATCACCCATGGCGAGGAGGATGTATTCTTCTTGGGATTCACTCTGGTTGAAGCCTAGGTAGTGTAAATCATTTTGGCTGTAGACGAAGGAATGTATGTCAGCGCCCAATCTATCTATTTCATGAACAAACTGCAGTATGTTCCTGGAATGGGACTCGGAAGAAGTGGATGGAAAGATGTTGCTGCACTAATGGATGTGCTGCATAACCCATATGCCTTTGGTTTGGGTTATGTACCCACCAAAGAGGACTGGATTAGAAAGAGAGAAGAGATGAAATACAGAGCCAAGGCTAAGCAAGCCGGGAAACACTATGAGCTTATCCACAGGCCAATCCGGGGGACACTGAATTGCCGCTTTGTTCGGGAGGGAGAATATTTCCCTTTTTGCAGCTTTCTCGAGCCTTGGGTGAATTCCATGAAGCTGTGTGTCCCAAGTTAGAT